TGGATGGATGGATGGATGGATGGATGGATGGATGGATGGATGGATGGATATGGGGGCATTTTTGCCTGGATGCTAATTTTGTTCTTGGCGCCTTTGTCAGGGTAGGAATGGATATGGGGAGTCAGGAAAGACTTCACTCTATGGGACTCTAAAGAATGAGCTCTTTCGATGTGTGATTTCTCTCAACAGAACCTGGCTTTCCCTCCTTAACACGTGGTGTCCCAGGAGTCAGAGTGGACTCGATGGCAACTGGTCTGCTTTCGTTGCTTACTGTTGCTTCAAAATCAAATTCCCGTTTTTGTAGTTTGATATAAGGCATGCTGTACAACTCCGAGAAGGAGGGAGATGGGGCTTTCTACTCCCATAAACAACTAAAGTCTCAGAAACTCACAAGGGCAGCAGTGATCGCCTGTTCCCCAGGGTCACTGTGAGTCAGCATCGACTCCATGGCAGTGAGTTCAGGGGGTCTTTGGTACAACTCAGAAGGTACAAAAAAGATCAACAGCAGAGCATCTCTCTGCCAACAGGACCACCCCTGGCACACCTGCAGAGGGCGCCATTCTCGTGGAACGTAGGGCGGCAGCCAGCGTTTCCACCCAGAACCCAGCTTCCCACCCTCCCTCCCTGCAGTCACCACTCCTAACAGGCACGTCTTCTTCCTTCCTGAGACAGACTGTGTGTGTGCCTGGCCTGACACAAGACTCCGCACTAACCTTGTGGACTTCACATCCCTGGGAGATGGTTTCAGATGAGGGCATATGGAGCCACTTATTCTTTTTCAGAGCTGTGTAGTATTCCATTGATGTGGCTGTACCGTTGTTCAGTTGGCTGCTCTTCTGGGTGTATATAATCCACCTTCATGGGGCTCTTTTCTGGGTCGTTTCTGCTGCAGACAGGGCTGCCATGGGCTCGTGATACTTGCTTACCCTCCTAGAAGTAGACTGCTTGGGTAAAGCAGAGGAAGGGCTCTGTACTGGTGGAGTGTCAGTTGTCAGGCAGACGTAGGTGAGCTATTTTTACACTAGGATTTAAGGCATGTCAGATTAGATCCTGCTAACCAGTTTGTGTTGCCTGCGGCCCCCTCTCTGGTGGCGTTACTGTTAGAGAAGGTATTTGTGGTTTTGAGCACAGAGGGTGCAGTGGTTGAGCCCTTGGATAGTGACTGAAAGGTTGGCGGTTCAAACCCCCCCAGCTGTTCCGAGGGAGAAAGATGTAGTAACCTGGCAGCCTAAGAAAGTACATGGGGCATTTCTATTCTATCCTCTAGGGCATCGGTTCTCAATCTGTGGGTTGCAACCCCTTTGGGGGTCTAACGACCATTTCACAGGGTCACCCGATTCATAACAGTAGCAAAATGACAGTTAAGTAGCCACAAAAATAATTTTATGGTTGGGGGTTCATCACAACGTGAGGAACTGTATTAAAGGGTCGCAGCATTAGAAGCCATTAGAAGGTTGAGAACCACTGCTCTAGGGTCACTTTGAGTTACAGCTGGATGGTATCAAGTTCATAGACACCCTGGTGGTAAGCCTCAAGATTGAGGCCCCCGCAGAAATGTATGGGCTTAAGAGGTCCTGGTCCAAGAGCCACCTGTGTGTGTTGGGGGTCGGGTGTGTGTTTCCAAACCAAATCCAAACTGCCATCCAGTTGATTCCAACTCGTAGTGACCCTACAGGACAAGGAAGAATTGCTCCTGTGCGTTTCCAAGACTATAACTCTTTATTGGAATAGAAAGCTTTGTCTTTCTCCTGCAGAGCAGCTGCTGGTTTTGAACTGCTGGCCTTGAGGTAGCAGCCCAATGCACCTCTATGACACCACCAGGGATCCTTGTATGTATATGTGGGGGGGGGTAGGAGAATGTCATTTCTAAGATATTTTGAGGCTGTGCTTCCTGTTAACATCACAGAATTGGATAGAGGGAGGGAGGGATGGATGGATGGATGATTGGGTGGATGGATGGATGGATAGGTGATTGGGTGGATGGATGGATGGATGGATGGATGGATGGATGGATGGATGGATGGATGGATAGATGGATGGATGGAAGGATAGGTGATTCAGTGGATAGATGGATGGATGGATAGATGGAAGGATAGGTGATT